GGAAAAAAAGTACATGAAAAACACAAAAAGCCAAAAACAACCATTTGAGAATTGACACCATCTGTACCATTCCCCACCCCTGGTTCCAAATCACTCCCATCAATTGAAAAACACAATTGAAGAGCTAAGGATCAGGTATCAGTGACCGGAAAAACTACCTGAAGTATTCCTGGATATTTTCTCTGGATCTCATTCCCAACATCTGAAGATCTGACCTTTCTACCTCGGGCAATTGCCTGAAACTTAACAATTCCCCAGATGCAGAATAACGTGGCAACAGCTTGTCTTCTAACCAAGTGACCACGAATAACAGCTTGCAGCCTTATGATACCCTTAAGAGTTTTAAATGCCCTACGAGCCTTTAAAATGATATGCCATTATTAGTGAAATACAAATGGAACAAAAAAGAAAAAGCACCACATATTTTGACGATTAAGAGAAGTATTATAAGGCTAAGGGAAAATGACCTCACATAACACTTCAAAGTGAAGTGAAAACCTGAAGCCACTATCCAAATAATTTTACCTTCAAAAAAGTTACATTTACTTCTCTTTGCAGAATTAACTAAAGATCAAAATCATAAATTCTTTAGCCCTTGCAGTTGCACCAGGTTCTGATTCATAAAAGCCCAAAACAGCAATAAGTCTTACAGCAAGAGGAAATTACCTGATGACCTCTAAAAGTAGCCTGCACTTTTCTTGCAGCTTGCTCATGCTTGGTACTCTCATAATCTTCTGGTGGACCCGAATTTATGTTCAGTTGATCATCTTCATTCTCTTTTGAGGACAAAGGATTTAAATGATCATTTGATAATTTGACAGTCATCCCCTTGTCTGAATCCACCACATCTCTTGCACTCGTCCCAGGAATTTGGGCTGAAACCAATGGAGGATCCACCATTACATGTGATGCGATCAGTGACTCCTCTTCATTTGCAGAATCCTTCATATGAATAATCAAATCACCAATTAAAAATTCACAGTTCCCAAAAATTGAACATCAGTTAAACAGGCAAAGCCCTATAATGATGCTTTGTCAGAGAAAAAGTATATATCTTCTACAATATTCTCTGATAAATAAAACTTAATGCACCTATATTTGGTAAGAAGTTTATGTTTTCTCACCAATTTTGCTCTTCCTTTTGACAAATTTGACTTTGATGACTTCTTCCCAAGTAGGGTCCTGATCCATTTTCCAGGGGTCTTTCCCATCTCAGCAGACAATAAATAAGACCCCAGGTACTTGAATTAGAAACCTGCTTTTATACATAAAACATTTAACATCATGTAGTGCCAGCACAATTTACAAGAAAATAAACATTCTTAGCACATAGTAATAGGACCCCAAACTTAAATCTTATACCTTATATTGCAGCATTAAAGGAGTTATTACAAACTATGCCAGAATAGCTAACTTATTTGCCAATGTCTTTAAAAATCTCAAATCAAGATATTTTTAGTAGCGTTCTGAGTGTCAAACCCAACTTATGAACCTTATACTCCATCTCGACAATTGCTGCAGCACAAGAGAGGCTGCTTAAGCACCACTAAAATGAAAAATCAAATTCATTTTGGACACACTGAACCAGAAAATGAGCAGCATTGTAGCCGTGAAAAACGTAGACACCAACTTCATCATCGTAACAGCAACGAAAATGAATAGCAATGGGGAAGCTACGAGAAAAACCATCACTAACACCAAGCCGCAATGCGAAACCAACTCCAGCAAAATAAAAAGTTATAAAGAAATAAAAAAAGAAAGAGCCGGTTCAAGAGAAGAAAAGCAGCTAAAATCAGAGAATACCAGTAAACAAGTAAATACGCGAAGCGTGATAGAGATCTAATCCGTACTATATGAACGCATGAACTCTTCAACGCGAAAGGATTACAAAAATGAGATAAAATCAAGTTGAGATATTCTTACCTGAAGAAGCAGTCCTTTGAAAACCCTAATAGGCCGCCTTCACTGCATAACAAATAAAATTTCAAAAAAGAAATGAACAACCACTGTCCAGGACTGTTAACATCTCATTGTTTATCAACTGCAGAAGAGATAAAGAGTGTTGGAGAACTTTACTTCCTCGCTCCTTACCTTTGTCTTTGTTCCACTGGTAGCAGAGCGTGAAGATCTGAGAGGTTGAGTGAGAGGGACTGGAGTCTCTTGGAGAGGAGGAAGAAGGGTTAAAAAGGGAAAGAAGATAAATATCTCTTAAACGGCGCCGTTGAGAAACTAACGTTCTGGGCCTGAGGCCTTTAAAAGCGGGCCCATTTCTGCTCCCCGTAAGATTCAACATTTAAATAAAAACGGCCCCTCGTCCGGTGGGTTCGGTTGAGGATATTTTAGTTTTATCCTTTTTTTCTTAAATGAAAATATTTTGGTTATTATTCAAAATTTTATTATATAATAAAAAAAATATTCCACACAAAAAATGTAGTCAAATTTCAGTCTAAATAAAATTATATTAAATTAAATAATCTAAATCTAATTAAATTAAATAAAATTTGACTTATTTCTCGATCTAAACAAATAAATAAACGATTTATTTTAATTCGAATTATGTAAAATTTATTTAAAAACTTTTATTTTAATAATTGAAAAAAATAATAAAAAAATTTGAGTTGATATAAAATTTTATGTGAAATTAAAAAATATATATATTCAGAAAATAAAGTGAAAAAAATATATTACAGATTTAATTAAAATTAATAAAATTTAAACATATTTTCTTTAATTAATACTGCGGAAGGCAGTGTCCGGTTAATGAGGACAACCCTGATTTGACCCGCCACTCATTTAATTATTATCCTCCTAACTAACTTAATCAACATTATAATATCATACCAAACTGCAATTATTATAAAAATATGGTCCAAATGCTCACCCAAGTGGGAATACATATTTATATATATATATATATATATATATATATATATATATACACACAAAAACAAAACACCATTAGTTAATAAAAAAAAATTATTTTAAAATTATAAATTTAAATTTTATTATAGAACTATACTAATTTAATTAAATTAAAAAGTCACCTAATTAAATTAAATATCAATAAATTTTATATTTTTAAATAAAAATAATATTTTATAAAATATGGTCCAAATACTCATCTAAATGAAGATATATAAAATAAACTTATATACATATATAGATATCATGACATTATAAATATTAAGATTTTCGTATTATATTTAAAATTTATGAATTTAAATTTTACTAGTAAATAGTATATTTATATAATTATAATAATTAAATTATATTAAAACCTACTAAATTAAGCCAAATATCATTAAACTTATTACACTTTAAAACAAAAAATATATATATAATCACTATAGATTAAAAACTTAATCTATCATTGTTTATTTATAATGTATATATATATATATATATGTGTGTGTGTGTGTGTAGATGGTTACTAAATCAAGGTCTTTTATATTATAATTGTGCATGTATGTATGTATATGTATATATATATATATATATATAATATATATGGTAAGAGATTATTGTAGGCTTAACAAGAAGATCTTAATTGGCTATATGTGCCAAAACCAAACCGCCTTCCCATAACACAAGATTAAATAAACTATCAAATTAATTCATGTGATCCAACAAATGCAACTGACTTTTGTGTTATCATTTTCCATTTTTTGATTACCCATTTTCAATGCAATGCCATGTGCAAAATCTTCATATAAAATTGTAGATATCGTTTTGACATATCGAGTTAACAGTAGTTAGTTTATAATATTTAATAATTAATTTATTAATAAAATTATGTGATCAATTAAATTTTAATATCAACAAATTTATTATATTTTTAGTTTTAATAAAAATATAAAATTTATCATTTTATACAAGTATTATAAATCAATAATGATCAACTTATATCGTTTGATTTAATAAAATTCACTAGTAAATTTTTACTAGTGAATTAGTGAAACTGTAATATTTTTAAATAAAATGAACATTTTAAACAATCAAATATTGTTAGTCCCGATATAAATATAATAAATTATTCATTTAAACTTTTAATGATATATATATATATATAGTAATGATGTGTGTATTATTGTGGTGTGTGTTAGTGAGTGTGAAAAGCCCTTTTGCTTTTACTTTTTACTCTTTGTGTGTACTTGGCGAGCAAAGATTCCTAAAAGATTAGGAATTATATCACAAAGAATTAAAATCAATTAAGCTCCCACTTAAAATTATATAATAGAGGATTAGGTGAAACTAACACCTCAAAAAAAGCTTTTAATTATTTCCCAACTCATCACCGACAAATAATCCAAACCCTTAATCCAATCTCGAGCCTTTAAACTTTTCTTAATTGAACATATTTTTGGGTTAATTATTCTAAATTAAAATTACTCTTTTTAATCTTAAATTAGTTTAATCTTTCAAAAAATAGAAATTTATTAAAGATTTTTTTTTTTTAAAAAAAAAGCATACACTCCCACGTAGTGCCAGCCGCCACCATTTGAATGTGTCGAGTCATCTTTTTCAAACATGGAATTTCAGGCCTGGCATTGCCCGGTGGCTTTCCTTTTCTGGGTTCCACCTATTTTAATGAATATAAAATATTATTATTTAAATTTTTGCTTATTTGAAATTTTTAAACACGACCCAATAATATAAATTAGTTTTAAAATATATATTTTATTTTTTAAAAACTTAGATTAACAGTTAAATATAGTGGAAAGTTATTTATAAATTCGATTAAAATCACTTATATGTATTAAAAAATTATATAAATAGAAAATTAAAAAAACGCGGGGACCAAAAGAGCACGTGGGTTATCTGGATTGCACCGCGGAGGCTCACGTGCTTATAGCACGTGCCTATTGCTGGGATACTCGAGGGTCCACAGTAACAAGCGTGGTCAACACCGGAGAGCTTGTAATCTCTGCTGTTCGATTCCGGTGAAGCCAAAAAGTTGACTTTGACTAGTCTGCTTTCTCTTCCCAAACCTGTCTTGTAATTTGATACTGTAGTTCACGTAGTACGCTATCAGGATTTCATAAAGCCATTTAGCACTTTCCTATTTTGTCCTGCATGTTGCTGCTGCTTCACTTTTAATGGAAAATTTTCACTGTGAGGCTGATCGGATCTATTGACTCTCTTCTCTGAAATGGCTTCTTCTCTTCTTCAACAAATGGTCTTATTTTTTGTATGATTTTGCTCACTTCCTCAGTTCTTGACCTTCCGTCACTTTCCCTGGAAAGTTATTTTTTTCTGTTAGTTTATCGTTTAGGCACTCAGACCAAGATATCTTGAACTCTAAAAATTCTGCTCCCTGTAAAGTTTTTTATTTCCTGCTGCTTTTTCTTGTATCCACCTAACCCCTTTTTTTTTTTTTTCAGTTTCTCTTCGCTTAAAGTTTTATGCTTTCTTTCTTTTTTAATCTCTGATGAACAGAGGAAGCATTAATGGCTACTTTGTTCATAAATGGTATTAGGTGAAATTCTTGTCCTTTGTGCTAAACATTCATTTCTTTTTCACTGAACCTGCTTTAATCTGAAAGATACCAATATTACTGTACTTCATTCTCCTTTGAAATTAAATCAATGGAGGTTTCATGGAGTTTCTTGGTTTCTTCTCTGGTTTTCACTCTGTTAGTTCCAGCTTCAACAGGGCAACTGAGCCCTACTGAAATCAGAATCCTTTTCCAAGTTCAAAAGCTTGTTGAATATCCTCAACCTCTTCAGGGATGGAACAACTGGACCAACTTCTGCTACCTTCCTTACTCTCCTTCTCTCAAGATTGTCTGCACAGATAACCACGTTACAGAGTTGAGTATCACTGGAAACAAGACTTCCCCTAGACTGTCTGATAAGTTCTCCATTGATGCCTTCTTCACCACCCTCACAAAGCTTTCCAGCTTGAAGGTATTATCTCTGGTTTCCTTAGGATTATGGGGTCCTTTACCAGCAAAGATCAACAGGTTTAGGTCACTTGAAGTTCTTAATATCAGCTCAAATTTCATCCATGGTGAGATTCCCCCACAAATTGGTTCCTTCAAGAGCCTAAAAAGCCTTGTTTTGGCTGATAACTTGTTTAATGGCAGTGTCCCAGATCTTCAAGGTTTGTCACTTTTACAAGAGCTAAACTTGGGTGGTAATCATCTGGGTCCTAAGCTTCCCTTGCTGACCCACAATCTTGTGATTCTCAATTTGAGAAACAATTCTTTTAGATCTGAAATTCCTTCACAGTTCAAGAACTTTAATCAGCTACAGCACCTAGACATCTCTTTGAACAAGTTTATAGGGCCAATCCCATCTTTCATCTTCTCTTCGCCTTCAATTCAATATCTGAATTTAGCCAAGAACCAATTGAATGGAGCTTTACCAGGAAACATACCTTGCAGTTCCAAGCTTCTATTTTTAGACATTTCCAGCAACCTTCTTACAGGAAAATTGCCTTCTTGCTTTTCTTCAAAGTCTTCAAATCGAACAGTGATTAGTTCATGGAATTGCTTGTCAAATGTCAACTCAAAGAACCAGCATCCACATTCTTTTTGCCAGAAAGAGGCCCTGGCTGTCAAGCCTCCTATTGAAACCCAGGGGGAGTCCAGCTCCACCGTCAAACTAGGCCTGATACTGGGTATAATTGGAGGTGTTGTGGGCACTGTGGTTCTTCTTGGATTGTTGATTTTAATCATTGTCAGAAGATCAGACAAGAATAGAACTAAACTGAACAAGTTTAACAGATCTGTTCCAGATAAAATCCCTGTCCGTAGCTCCCCAAAACCAGTTCTTGACACAAGTAAGCCACCTTTCTTCTCTTAGGATATTTTAAAGTTCATTTTTTTGAGATCAACCTCTTACTCAAGTGTCCCACAGAAAGGGTTTGGAAAGATTAATCTATATGGGTTTTGTATGTACTGCAGGGCGTGTGCCCCACACAATGAGATCAGCAGTAATTGGCCTACCACCATATCGAGTTTTCACTATCGACGAAATCGAGGATGCTACCAACAACTTTGAACCAGAAAATTTGGTGAGGGAAGAGACCCAGGGACAGGTAAAAGATCCGATGATTGCTGTATAAATCACAAAGTGACCTATACAGTAAGGCATTTGCTTCATTTCAATGCTTACAGGTGTATAAAGGTTGGCTAAGAGATGGAACAATGGTGATGGTGAAGTGTGTAAATTTGAAGCAGAAGAATTTGCCACAAACCATGATGCAGCAAATGGAAGTATTATCAAAACTGAGGCATCTGCATTTGGTCAGTGTTCTTGGCCACTGCATCGTCACTTACCAGGACCACCCTCATACACCCACCACAATCTTTGTTGTTCTTGAACATATATCCAATGGATCACTACAAGACTATCTTGCTGGTAATAAAGCAAATTACTCCAGAAAGTTTCAATATTTTTTCGAGATTTGTGCGATAGTAATTTTGATGTTTGGTTTGGCAGACTGGAGGAAGAAGGAGATCCTGAAATGGCCCCAGAGAATGGCAATAACCATTGGGGTTGCGAGGGGGATTCAGTTCTTGCACACAGGAGTGTCACCTGGGATTTTCGGAAATGATTTGAATATCAAAAAGATTTTGTTGGACGAGAGCCTTACTGCAAAAATTAGCAGCTATAACATTCCCTTGCCATCTAAGGTATGAAGTGGCTATAAATCTTCACTTTATACAGGTTACTCAAGGCAGTCCTTTTATGTTGTTTGGTTTCAAATTTTGCAGACAGGCTCTGAAAGCCCACTTTCCGGACTGAACATGACCAATCATGGGAGGTATGCCATATCTTTTCCATCTTCTCTTCTCCTCCATGTCTTCAAATATACGAGCTAACAGATATCGTTGACATTTTTGTATGCAGCAGCGAGGGCGGAGAAAAGGAAGATGTTTATCAGTTTGGGTTGATCCTCCTTCAGGTTATAACAGGAAAACTGATTGCTTCTGCTACAGAATTGGATGAGCTTAAACTTCAGGTTAACTGTTTACTTGTTTCTGTTACTAATAGTTTTTTTAATTTGATTGATATATTTTGTTAAATATTACAGCTTTATATATATATATATATATAGATTTTCTAAAATAAAAAATGAAATAGACAAGTAATTACAGATGTGTAACTTACCCTTACACTAAGATTTACTTCCTCTTTTTAACAGTTTCTTAATCAAGAATGAACTTCAGCATCTTTTCCAATTGTAACTGATAATCTGATCTAATTCACAGCTGGAAATAAGCTTAGCCGAAGGACCATCTAAATTACGGAGTGTCACAGATCCCTCCGTCAAGGGAACTTACGCGTATGAATCGCTAAGAACTGCAGTTGAATTCACCATCAACTGTCTCTGCAAAGATCCAAGCGAGCGTCCTTCGATAGAAGATGTTATTTGGAATTTGCAGTACACAATTCAAGTTCAGGACGGATGGACTAGTAGTGGAAACCTCGGTACACAAATGTGAATGTTTTTATTCAATCTTTACATACCCAACAGGTCTTCAAAGGTCTCTTTTGTATCATAGTTGATTTACACATTAACTTCCGTAATAAAACTTTGTATCTCAGATAATCATTTTCTTGTAATTGTATGTAGTTCATTACTCGTCCACTGAGCCTAGATTTTGCATTTTGGCAAAACCACTGGGATTCTTTCTTCCCCTTTGTCCTGTTTGGGCCAATTTTGTACTCGAATGACTGAAGGAAATGGATCTCGATTATGCACCACCATCACCATCGGACTCGCGGCCATGTTCTAATCCAACCATCTATTAAATTCATTGATCCCCAAAATCATTCCATCATTATTAGATTTACCCTAATTGCCTGATACTGTCGAAGCAAAAATATTGACAAACTGCGAATAAGCAGGTACAGCAAACATTTTGATATAAGAGGCCCAACCGTCCTAATAAAAGCAGCAAAGCATATCAAGTCAAAAGAGTTTCAACATAATGTGCAAGTTACATTGTTATTCAGACAAGCTATTGGACAAATCAATCAGCAGTCCAACTCTGCTCAACAATTTCGCGGACTCTCCGATTGTATTCACGCTTGTTCTCGCTAAACATTCTTGCAGCCTCTGAATTTGCAGGAGAGTTTGGATTCGGGTCACAGAGCAAGGACTGCAAATAAAGGCATCATTACCACATGTGCAGTTATTCCAATTTTTTTTGAAATAAAAAATACAATTATTTCAATCTATACATAAAGCATGCAAAGCTTGAGACAACTGGAAATACAAAGAGCAAGGTACTTAAAAACTATGTCTTAATTGTTTGAGGAATCCATTTTCTATCTTCTACAGTGCAATTAGGATTCAACATTATATCATACCGATAATCAACCCAACTAGATGGCCAGAAATGAAAGCTAGAGCATTACTAAACCAGAGTTTCAGTGCTATCCAAAATCTCTGGTCTGCCGGTTATACATGAGAAACACAAAGGCAATGAGACTTGGTAAGTGATTAGCTGCATGCCTCAAGGTGAACGATGAGAGTATTTAAGTTGGGAATAGATTGGAGAAAAAGAATCACAAGGTTATTAGAAATAATTGAGCCTATAATGAATTAATAACCACATGTAACTTGTCAACTACACTCTCATCATGAAGGCTTGGGTCCAAGCCACCCAGAGCTATGCGATTAGTTTAATAGGGTTCTTAGCAAAACAAAGAAACCAGTTACTTCTTCGCAGCACTTCCAGAAAGTGGGGGCAGAAACAAAAGGATGATGTAGGTGGTTTTTACCACAAATTTTCTATAAAGAATTTCTGATATCTAATCTGAGTAATAAAAAAAATTCCTTATAGGAATTTCTGATACCTACTTTCAGTAATAAAAAATTCACTAAATAGTTAAGTACCTGGATCGATGTGAGTATAGCTGCAACATCATATATTGGACTCCATTGATTTTGTAGAATGTCCAGACAAATGCTTCCATCTGCATAAACTGGAGAACAGGAAAGGAAAATACAGTAGCTCAGAATCAGAAACTAAAACTAGCATTATCTTATCTTGCAAGCAAAATGGATAATAGTGAGCCAAATACATATACCAACCATGGCTGGGAATTTGTTTTCAAGGGTTACAAATGGGGCATGTCAACTTAAAAGTACAACACAACTACAATAACCTGAATAGAACATAATTAACCAATCATAGTAATCCTCAACCCGAAAGTTATATCAAATGAATATGTTAGACAATATAATACTGCTAAACTACTTAATTAAGCATATCATACTAAACCAAAAAAGAAAAAAATATGATTTAGTTAAACATGTTACTCATAAAGACAACCTGAATACTTTTATTAATAAGTAGATGATTAGATTGCTCTGTCGGTATTGCTTTTATTTTTCACTAAAAATTACTAAGCAAAAAGAAATTATTTATACTTTGTTACCAGACCAATTTTTCCTATTGACTTTATGTTATCTTATCTCATACCATTCAGAGTTCACCATCACAAATCTTAACTATTGTATATACCATTCATATTAAAAAAAGAAAAAAAAAACTCACTAAATCATACAGAAGAAGTTTACAATATTAAGACATGTTGCCTTGGGGAACATAATGTGATCAAGTGAGCACTCAGCAATCAGTACAAAGAAATACATCAATCAATTCCTGTCTGAATTAAGTGGATCAAATTATTATCATGCCATTTTCAAGTTAATCCATCTATAACCTTGTTTCAGGAGATATGAAGAGAATGAAAATGATGGAAGTTTTTTTTTGAAATATAGAAAAGAATGGAAAATATAAAAGGTTAACAATTTAACCTCGTCTCGGAGAATATTAAATAACCTCATTTGAGAGAAGCTAATAATAGATCAGAAAAGATTCGGCCAAATGCTCCCGCTACCTTTCTAAATTCCACAATTATTCTCCCAAATTAGATAGAGAATAAATAGAAAGTTAATGTAAGTTATACGTTGTCCTTTTATGATCAATTTACTCAGTGTTTTCTTTAAACCCAACTATTCCCTCTAACAGCGAGAAGAATATTATTGTCCACTAAACCATAATAACTACCTGTTCGCCTTCCCATCCACCTCTAATCCAAATAAGAAATAACATTTTACTTTAATCTCCTCTTTACTCTTTCCAAGACAAAGTAACATATTTTCCCTTCTAGCAATTTGGATCACATAAAGGATGGGATTCAAACTACAATAACATAACTTCAAATGCAAAGCCTTCTCCCAATCCAGGCTTATGTAGAAGGTATCCTGCCTGTACCATCCCCAGTTAATATATGTTTTGATCATGTTTATTTGAAATATTTGGCTATTTAATGGCAACCAATTTTAAAACTTGGAAGTCTTGGTATTTGAGTAGTTAATTTCATTTTGAATATTTGAACTAAAGTGGTGACTATTCAACTTTAGCGGCGGTCCAATACTTAATATGTTTAAAAAATCTCAAGTACAAATGTTTTCTTAAGATAAAAAGGACTTAAAAAAAAGAAAACAAATCAAAGCCAGTTGAACATAAAATCCTTGTTTGGGAAATAGGGCAAAGTTTTATCCCTTTTCGAGGATGAGAACAAGGCTTTTCCTCATTCAAGAAACAGGAAAATGATAATAACTATTCTCCTATGCAGGAAACAGAGATAGGGATAGGGAATGTGATTTTTCTCCTCTGAACCTACCCTCTAGCCTTCCTGTCCCTGAGATAGTACTATCCCCACCCTTTCTATGTTTTTTATTTCAAAATAATAATAATAAAAATACTATCCCCACCCTGTTTGTAGATTAGAAAAAAAAATGTACCAATCTCCAATGACGGCAATGACTCTCCATTGATGGTATTTTTATTGCTTAAAAACATTTTAGTATTACCAATTCAAAAATACTAGTTAAGTTTTAAATGTTCAAGAAGCTTTCTATTTAAAACAATTATTGATCGGGGAAAAGAATCCACCATAACAAGTATTACCCAATAGGGTTGGTGCAAATTACCATCCCTACCCATTGCCAGTTCTAACCCTATTCCATTCCCTTCCTTATTTCCTTCCATAATTACTCTACCCCCCTCCTTGCCCAAATAATTATGAAGTTTAATGGGCAGGTCATGTAAAGAAACGGCACCTTATCCACCATAAACCCAATGTGAACCCACCTGATAACCAACTGTGAACAAGTAGGATATATGTCAAATCTTAATTCATATTTTTTATAGCCAAAATTTAATCCATTTTTTACATCTTAAAAGCTCAGCCATACTGCAGGAGCAAATAGAAAGCATCAATTACTGAAAATGCTCATAACATCTTTTCCTTAGAAAAAAGAATTCTTATATGAAACTTACTGTTAGGGTGGAACATCCGAGAAACAAAATGGACAGTTGGCGGTTTATTTGGATAATCTTCCGTAAACTGAAGTGTCAATTTGAACGTACCTGAAGGATTAAAATTATCATAGAATTCTTGAGTCTAAACAAGGAAACATATACAAGTATTTCTACAATTGATCATCTATACTTTAATTCTAGTCTTTATTATGACAGAGCAGTAATCAGCATAATAAGAAAACCATTGAAATCTCTCCCAACGGGTCCCCCAGTTACGTAAAATTCTCATGCAAAAAAGAAATATATGTTCCTCTATGAATATGAAGAACCATTTTTGTAAAATATTGTAGTAAAATCTCGTATACTAATATAAAAACTAATAAGTTATTATAAAATAAAATCTAATAAGTTTTTATTTCAATGCGGAATGAAAAGGACAACATATAGGATAGGTAGAAGAAGTTATGATACTTGACTTCACCCATGAACCGAAACTCGAGATGTAAAAGAATATACCAATCCTAACAAGAATAAGATTACGATACCCTCCAAACATACATGGCTCACAAATTGCAGAACATAAAAATGAAAACATTACACAACATATTGTGCCCGTAGATAATGAACAGTAGTTGTTCTTACCTCCATCCCATGGGGTGTCATCAGGCCTGTAAGTTAATAATAAAAGGTGTAAGTAAAATTCTGCTGGATCCTTATAAACCATCTGAGCAGAAAAGTCAACAAATATAAAGAACAAAGATATATCCAATATGATTTTCACTCTCCACATACCCAAATATAACTGCATTCCAGAGCATAATATTAGAGTCTTGAGGAGCACCACTAATTCCAGCAGGCGGGTCTTGCTGCAACCTCTTAAAATCTCTCATCAATCTCTTCCTTGCAGGAGTCGACATCCTTCACTTTCGTATATGTTCAACACGAGCCCAAAACAATAATAAACCAATCAGTACAGTCACATGCAAGCCTATGCGCATAGCACATGGTCAAAGATGACCGAATTA